TCCCCTCCGGGCCCCACCTGATGTCCATAAACCTTCAAGACCAAAACGTTGACAAGGACTATGGTGGTTCAATTTGTGTGTCAGTTTGGCTGGGCCCAGATATGTGGTCAAACATTATTCTGGATGTTTCTGTGAGGGAGCTTTTGGACAAGATTAACATTTAAATCAGTGGACTTGGAGTAAAGCAGATTGCCCTCTAGAATGTGAGTGAGTTCCGTCTGATCAGTTGAAGGCCTGAGTAGAGCAAGAGGAGACCCCTCCCCCTCCCCCCCCCCCAAAGCAAGTAGGGATTTGGGGATTTGGTCAGTAGACAGCCGTTGGACTTGAACTACAGACAGCGTGGCTCTTTGCTGGGTCTTCAGCCTGACAGCCTTCAGACTTGAACTACAGATTTTGGACTTGCCAGCCTCCATAATCTTGTGAGCTGTTGACGAAAATAATCCATAACCAATCTATAAATGAAAATTTGGGTGAGTTTATTCTGAGCTTAAATCTGAGGATTATAACCCTGGGCCTTTCTTCCCGAAGGAAGAAAGGGCACCAAAGAAGTGGGGTGCACAGAGTGGTTATATACCCTCAAAGAGGATGTTTCACATATGATTGGAATGTCCCTTTTACAATAGTCGCGAGACTGCTCTGTCGGCACAGCGATTGATGGAAATAGTAGGTAGGTCTTCTGTCTCGGTGAACACAGCAGGGTGGCAGTCTGTTGTCTGGAGCTGAGTGGTCACAGGTGAGCTGGGTGGTCAAAGGTGAGTGCAGCAATCAGTTCCTAGCCTAAGGAAAAATGCTTATCCTTAAGGAAACGCTAATGTGGGGGGAAGTTGCACCTTTATCTCAAGGGCCTTTGTTCTGGCCATAGGAAATGTCTAAGGAGATATACAAGGCGTGCTCAACAGCCACAGTCAGGCCCTTTTGGGAAAACCAAAGTCAGGCCGAATTAGGTTTATACCAAATGGCTTCCTCATATACTCCAATATATCCTATTGCTTGCCATTTTTATTTGTCAGAGCCAACTCCTTAAAATAAACAAACACACATGCACACAATTGGTTCTGTTTTCCTTCAAAGAACCCTAATTAATAAGATACTGATTAGTTAAGACTAGAGGAACTTAATGTTACAGAGGCCTAATATTTATTATAAAATGGAATGGAATGTTCGAGCAGAGAGTTATGGTTGATAGCACAGACCCTGGAACCAAAAAGCCCCATGTTTGAAACCAGCCCTGCCACTGACTAGCTGTGTGATCATGGGCAAGTTCCTTAACCTGCCTTTGCCTTAGTTTTCTCGTCTGTAAAGTGGGAGTATTAACAGTGCCTATCTCGTTGGGTTGTTACGAGGATTAAATGAGATTAAAATTTATAAAGCTCTGAAAACAGTGCCTAGCACATATTACACGCTGTGTGCTTGCTAAAGAAGTAGAATTGGAGTTTTAAAAAAATTGCACTTCATTGCTTTGTCTTCCCACCTCCCCCACTGGCCAAGGTGAATGATCAAGGGCATCAGGGGAGTGTGGCAGAGCCTGGGCAAGCCCACAAGCTTGGCAGAGAAGATTAGCCATGTGAGACACAGCAGTCAGGGTAAGTGGCCCTCACAGACACAACTTATGTCTGTGTCTTAGATGTGGGAGCTATCTACCCCCAAGAGTCTGTGTCGCTTCCTCATTTGAAGTCTCTGCTACCTCTCTGACTCCAAGGCAAGGTTTAACACACAGGAGAGGAACAGGGAAGAGACATTCAGCGCGGGTCAGACGGGGTAGGATGAATCAGTCAGGGTCCCGGCAGAAAACAGATGGCACACACAGAAGGGCTTTTTTAAGAGCCTCTTTAATGAAAAAGAATTATTTACAGAGGTGCAAGTAAGGACTAGCAACAGCAGGAAGCCATTACCATCTCTAACACTGAAGCAGCAGGGAGAGGAAATAGCATTCCCTGAGACCAGTTAAGAGACGGAGCTGTGGAACCGGGGCCACTAGACAGGAGCTGTAGTCGTAGAGGAACACAGCCACACCACGCTGTATTCATTATCTGCGGCTGCATAGCAAATTATTCCAGAACCTAGCGGCTTCAAATAACATCATTTCTTATCTCACAGATGTTATGTGCCAGGAGTCCGGGTGCAGCTTAACTGGGTCCTCTGCTCAGAGTCTCTGACAAGACTGCAGTGAAGGCATCATCGAGGCTGCAGTCACCTCAAGGCTCAACTGCAGAAGGATCCACTTCCAAGCTCTATCACATGGTTGTTGGCAGGATTCAGTTCTTCTTAGACTGTTGGACTGAGGGTATCTGTCCCTCCCTGGCTGCAGGCTAAGCCTGCCCTCAGTTCCTTGCCATGTGCGGCTCTCCATAGGGCAGCTCACCTCGTTGGGGAGTAGGCTGAGACGATCTGGAGAAAAAGAGAAAGAGTGTGTGTGTGTGTGTGTGTGTGTGTGTGTGTGTGTGTAAGCAAGACAAAAGTCACAGTCCTTTATAAACTAATCTCAGAAGTGACATCCTATCACTTCTGCCATTTTCTATTTGTTAGAAGTGGATCACGAGCTCCAGCCCCTGCTCCAGCAGAGGGATTACACAAGGGCATGACCGCCAGGAAGTGCAGATGACGGGGAGCATCTTAGACATCGACCTACCACATATGTCAAAGCAGGGAGTGAGCAGGAGGAACAAATGCCTTGACCTCTCTCTCTTCCCATCCTCTGATCTCCCACCACTGTCCTCCAGTGGCCAAACTCAAGTAGATGCCAGAAGGCAAGGGAGGCCTCAAAGTTCATCCTTCCAGGCCAGTACAAAGATGGACAGAGAATAGATCTGAGGCAGGGGGTGGGAGGGAAGTAGGATGGACAGGGAATAACCAGGACCTGAGAAAAGACACAGATGAGCAAACTGACTAACAGCCATCATGGAGGTCAGCTACCCTAGAAGACAAGACATCACAGAGAACAGCCCCTCATCCACCACCGCATCCATGTGGTGCATCTCTTTTCTCTAATATATGTATCCAATTCTTTCCCAGGCCCTATAATCTGGGGTAACGTTGAACTTGGGCCCTGTTATAAAGTAATGAAAATTTATGTAGAACAGTTGTCTCTACCTTCCGCCTCACCCCATTTTGTCACTGTCTGCCTCTTTAATTCCTGAGGCCAAGAGGAGAATTTGGAGAGGAAAAGAGCTGAGCAGTGACATTTGGAAAGACCCTGCTCTGTGACAGCTCTAGTGTTGATGCCAAAGTTCTAATTTCCTCTTAGAAAAGACTTGTGCAAATATCATCGTTTGCTCCTGTTGGCTTTTTTAATGTGCTCAATGAGATTGAGATCTAGAGTCAGCACTTGTTCTGACATGCAGTGTACACGACACACATCCCAGGGCACTGATGCAATCAAACCTTTCTCCTGTCCCTCAGCCCTCCCTGCTGCAGTGAAGGCCACTAGCACTTTCAAGGCTCCCGGACCTGGCCCCTCAGGCAGGCAGTCAATTGCCAAGTCCTGTTCCTGTGTTAATTCAATGCATCTCTCTGCTTCACCTACTGGCCACTGTTAGATGTCAGATAAATCTCAACTATTGACTCACACAGGGAGCTATGCCTGGAGCAGATCAGCTGCCTGAATGTGATGGTCTTATTACCTGGAGGTTAAGGATGGGTGAAATGGGCTAAAAGTTCTCACTCCTCATACCTTTCATGTCCCACCCCATTCATTTGCTCTTCCTTTATCTCCTGAGGAAACGGATGCTCTGAACCCAGGCACCCAAAATACCCTCATGTCAAAAATTCCCTGGTACGCCCTTTCCCACACAAATCTTCAGAGCAGCCATTGAGGCAGAGAAGCCTGCAGGACCACTTGGACCTGGTGGGAGCCAACACCAAGCAAACGGAGGATCACAAGTGGACATCCAGTACCCTGTTTTCCACCCGTCAGTCCTTCAACTGACTCCTGTTTCTCCTCAGCCCCCTTCTATAAATTTAGCATTTAGCACCAGCCTGAACCAAACCTACCCATAACTTTACTCTTGAACTTTACTCTGCAAAGCTAAGAATCCCACACATCTCCACAGAAATTTATTGTCTAAAAAATGCTTTACCATATATTATCTCACTTAATCTCCACCACTATCCTGTACATAGGAGCCATAACTCCCAGATGACAGATGAAAATCTAAAGTTTTTCAGTATATGACAGCATACTGTCCTAGGTATATGATAAAGCCAGAACTAAAAATCCAGGCCTTTTGAATTCCAGTTCAGGAGAGGAAGAAATCCCAAGTCCCAGAGAATTATCTGCTTTTCTGGATTGTTCACACCGTAGATCAGCGCCCCTCTTGAATGAAGAACCAAGTTCCAATTTCAGTGAACGACCATCATCCTTTAACCAGGAGATTCTCTCAGAAACATGGGGGGTCCCATTGATGGGGCCTGAAGTTAGAGGTTGACAGGGACTCACGTGAGGCTGGAGGTGCTCCTCCCAGCAGGTGGATAACTTCAAGACCAGGGGACAATGCCAGATAAGGCACATGTGCCTTCAAAGCCATCCCTTAAGAGAAGAAAGGAGCTGTGAACTCAGTCCCCACATGTTCTGAGTGTGGCCTCCCAGAGAAAGGGATTTGCTTAGTCTGGGGAAACCTTCAAGCCCCTGCACCGAATCCTGTGGAGATCAAGGCCAAGGTGGACACTGTGATCTCCTGAGCCCCCAGTCCTGATGGAGACATGCCAGGACTGAGAGTCCTACCAGTACCTTCAACACACATGCTGCAGAACCTCCCCCCAAAAAAACTTGCTCTGCCTCCATTCTCTGAGATCCCAGAGACGTGACCCAGAGGGCAGGTGGGGTGGGGAAGGAAGGAGGGAGGAAAGGGATGGCTGGGAGCCAATAGGGAAAGGACCTCCCTGCAAGGATATCAGCCAGCCCCAGCTAGCCCTTGTTGACTTAGCAGGTGACACTCTGGGGGACAAAGAGGGGAGGATGCGGAAGCCACACCCCTCCAAGCTTGATTCCCATTGGCCCTTGGTATCTTTAAAAGGGCCTAGCAGTCTCAGCACCAGTACTCGCAGAGCCTCTGAGGATTCTGTGGTTATACCTGCTCCTCATCCAGAAGCATGAGATTCATGGCTCTTCTCTTCCTGGCGGCTCTGGCTGGGGCCCTGGTCTGTGCCCGTGAGTATGGCCCTTCCCCAGCACCCATCAGAGCCCTCACAGTCCAGGGCAGCCTTAGCTCCTGTCTTCATTCTTCTCTTCCTCTCCCAGTGCTGTCCTGGCTCCTCCTGCCTCTGTGAGTGACACTTGCCCCCAGTTCTCCACATGTGGCCTCTTAATCCCACTGGCAGGGGAGCCAAGAAACCCCTGGCCCTGCCTGCTCCCCAGGCTCATCTCCTCCACACCGTCCTTTACCCGCTATGCTTCAGTCACTGGCCTTCTTGCAGGGGGGGGCTTCTGGACCACCGCATATAGCTGGGCAGGTTGCCCCCTGCATAAGGATGCCAGGCAGAGGGTGGTAGGGGCTAAAATCTAGCCCACACTCCACTTGCCAGTTTTCAGAGCAACATTACCCTTCTCTGAGGAGAACCTGCTTCAAAAAACTGCAGGAGGAGTTCTAGTTAAACATCAGAAAGAATGCCCTGGTGGGCCTACTGATGTGGCAGGAGGGCGTGTTCAGCCAGCACGGAAATGCGTCCCCCTGTGTCCACAAATACTCCAGAGAGCTGAGGATTGGGAATGGGAGGGAAGGTGGCTCAGGCAGGTCAGGTTCAGTCCTCACTGTCATCTCTTTCCTCCGTTGCAGAAGATGCCTCTGTGACCCGTGGTAAGTCGTTCTCTCCCTCTGGTCCCTGCCCTGGGGGTGTCAGTGGAGGCTGGGAGAGGAACCCAGCGGGAGGGGATTTAGGTCCTGCTCTTGGTGATAATGGGAAGAGCATGGATTGGGGTGGGACAAGGCTAAGAACAAAATGGGATCACCCAGGCAGGCAAGGTCAGTGGGAAGAACGGGAGAACGGTTGATTGTGAATAAAACGGAGAAAAAGATGAGGCTAAGTGATGAGGGAAATGTCCCACATGTATTAATACCTTCACCCACAAACACCTCCCAGAACTCCCAATTCCTTAGTGAGGTGCTTACTCTCAGGGCTCAGACCTCGTTTTCCAAGCCTATTTTCTGTGCCTCCTTCACGTACCACCCACACCAGCCGTTTGCAATCCCCACACCTGTCCCGCACACGCCTTCCCCTGAGCTCTCTTCCTGCCCCCAGGGCAGCCCCTTTAGAATATCCTTCTTGCCAAAATCCTGCCTTCAAGACCCAGCTTCTCTCTGACACACTCCCTGATTCTCCCACCCCCAGAGCCCCCCACAGCCCTGTCCACCTTCCAAGAGGCGGTGTCTTGGGCCCTTTGGGCTGCTACAACAAACCACCATAGACTGGGTGCTTAGACACCAGAAATTGATTTCTCACAGCTCTGGAGGCTGGAAGTTCACAGTCAGGGTGCAGCATGGTCGGGTTCTGGGGAGGGCCCTCTCCCAGGCTGCAGACTGCCAACTTCTCACTGTGTCCTCACATGGCAGAAAGAGCTCTCTAGGGTCTCTTTCATAAGGGCACTAATCCCATTCACAAGGGCTCCACCCTCATGAGCTGATTACCTCATAGGCCCCACCACGGAGCGGGGGTGGGGGGGGGGGGCACACAAACATTCAGTCTGTAACAAGCACAGAGTGTGTAGAAATCTTATCTCCCTTAGGAGGGCAGGGTTTATGTCTTATGCTTCTGTACCCTGGCACCCAGCACTTCTTAGGTATCCTGGGGCCTGCCACTCATTCCAAAGGAAAAACAACACTTGACTTTGCTAAAATCAACAAATTGGTGTGTTTGCAGCTGAACCTGGTGCGGGGATCACAGCTCCAGTGGAATCTGCTTCACCCCAAGAGACGGCAGCAGGAGACGGGTTCGCCCCAGGGGAACAACTAAAACCCCTGAGTAAGTCTCATCTCCACACCAGATAACAACCCAGAGAAGTCTCTGGTGGCAGGCCTGCGTGATGCCTCCACCCACAGAGACAAGCCCAGCGAGAAGCAGACATATCCACTCACCTGAACACAAAGGCACAAATGGGGGTGCACAGTGCACCCACACACAGAGTTTCTACAACAGTGGATTTTGCTGCCTGCACCCTGCCTGGTTTCTTTCCCAGCACACCCACCTTCCTGTGAGAGAGAAGCTGGGCCCCTCAGCAAAACTTCTCCCCTTCAGGAATTTGTGCAGGAATAATATGGATGGGGGAGGGGGGACCTGAGCGGGGGAGGGGCTGTTCTCTTTAAATGATGTGGCTTTTCTGCTGATGTGACTCTCCTCCAAAATCAGAAGACTTAGCAGAGAGAAGACTCTTGAAAGCAAGGCGTACCCTTGAAGAAGCAAGAAAAGGAGCGCGGGAAGGAATTGAAGGTGGAAAAAAACTCTTCGAAGGTGAGTGCATCCCAAGGCGAAGGCTTGTGGGGACAGGAATACTCCCCGCCCACCCTCCAGGGGTGGGAGGTGGGTGAGCACACGTCCCCATCTCCACTCCGTGCCTGACACCTGGAACCCCACAGCCTCCCCCACCTTGAAGCTTCCCTCGTGTTGTGTTTTCCCACGTCTCCAATTTCTCATCCACACTCAAACCGCCATGGTTGTCTGATACTAGACTCCCCTGGAGCCTGCCCCCAGCGCCCACTGCAGAGCTCACTTGCTTCTGTTTCTCTTCCTCTCACCCTTGCCCACGTGGGGGAAGAACGCAGGTCCTTCGGCTTCTTGGACTGTAACCTCCATCCCTCTGACTTCTGTGTGAGGCCCGCCAGGGGCTCTGTGAGGTTGGAAGGCAGGAGATGGAGTTGGGGAGGATGGAATGGGGGCAGCTGGTGCCTGCGGCCCTTCAAACCTCATTCTCATCTCAACTTTCTTCTAGGTGGAACTGAACTTTTAAGAAAACTGAGGGACAAATTCATTCCAATTAAGCCCTAAGAACCTGAAAAGAATGGGGTCTCTGGACTTATCGCCTTAAACTTGCTTGCAGCTCAGAACAATTAAACTGAAGCATCCAACTTGCCGTGCGCTGTGCTCTGTGGGGTGGGCCCTGCAGGAGGGGTAGAAAAGCCCACCTGGAGTGCCGTGAGGCACCGGGTGTCCTGTCCTAGGCCTCGGCCACTTCAGCCTGCCTTGAGGACACAGCCTCTCCCAAGCCCTCTTACTCACACTGAGCCACAGCCACCCGTGCTGAGCCTCCCTCTGCTCCAAGTCCCACTCTACTGCTGGTCTACCTCCTCATTCTTCACACACAGCTCCTAGTGACATTTGAGCATTTCCAAAAATTAAACCAACCTCCAAAGAACTAGGATTTATCATCCCGAAAATAGTCAAAGCCTGAGCCACTGCTAAGCCCCTTTCTTGTACCGTTATTGAAAACACGTCCCTCCTACCTTCCATTCATACCTTTTACACTGGACCAAAGTGAGTGGCAATGGCGAATCAGATCCAGTCAGTCACTACTGAGCCACTGCAGTGAGAGCTGACACTTGACGAAAGAGGCCAATTGAATCCATTATAATTATCCCTGTGATCACCCTGCATCCCTTGCCTCCCTCCACCACAGCCCAGGATGGTGCTTAGCACACAGGCGGGCAGGCGAAAATACTCACGACCATCGAGGAAACGAGAACGCGATCAGCCCTCCTGCCACCCTTTCCCGGAGCCAGGCACACGGCACCCCTGCTCTCCTCCATCCCCAGAGTCACTGATTCTAGACCGTCCTTCTCCCACCCCATGCGATTCCCTCCCCTCCTATTCTGAGGAGTGGGGGGCATTCCACCCCCACCCTGTTTTAACTGAATGAAGAAATGCATCTCCCCACTCACTCCTCACACTGCCACCACGCATCCTCTGCTTCAGAGAACACGGTCAAGGAAGCAGTGAGATCTTCCGGAACAGTCCCCTTACCCCACCCCACACCCCCCCCCCAGCACTGATTATCATCAACACTCGGTAAATGGGGCACTTCACACTTGGATAGACTGTCCCATTTTGTGGGTTGAATTGTGTCCCCCAAAAAAGATCTGCTGAAGTTCTAACCCCTGGCACCTCAGAACATGCCCTTATTTGGAAATTGGATCATTGCAGATGTGACTAGTGAAGGTCATACTGGAGTCGGGTGGGCCCCTAATCCAATATATGTTGTCCTTATAAGAAGAGAGGCATTTGGACACAGAGACACATAGAGGGAAGATGATATGAAGACACACAAGGGTAGATGGCCACGTGACAACAGAGGCAGGGACTGGAGTGATGCATCTATAAGACAAGAAACGCCGAGGATTGCCGGCAAACACCAGAAGCAAGAAGAGGCAAGGGAGGACTCTCCCCTGCAGGTCTCAGAGGGAGCACGGCCCTGCCGACACCTTGATTTTGGACTCCTAGCCTCCAGCACCGGGAGACAACCGATCCAGCTTGTTTCAAGTCATCCAGTTTATGGTACTTTATAACAGCAGCCAAGGCAGCAGGTACACACCCCCAACCCAAATTCATCGTCTCATCAGGCTACTGGCTTATCTTATAACTGGAAGTTCATACCTTTTAACCAACATCACCCATTTCCCCCACCTCCCAGCCCCTGGCAACCACCAATCCACTCTCTGTTTCTGTGAGTTCGGGTTTTTTAGATTCCACGTATAAGTGAGATCATACAGTATTTGTCTTTCTCTGTCTGACTTATTTCACTTAGCATAACGCCCTCAAGTTCTCTTCATGCTGATGTAATGGCAGGATTTCCTTCCTTCAAACGGTTGAATAATCTCCCATTATGTTGATACATATGTCTTACTTTTCACCATATAGATCTTTGACCTCTTCGGTTAAATTTATTCCTAAGTATTTTATTTTCTTGATGCTGTTGTAAATGGGATTGTTTTTCTTAAGTTCTCTTTCTGATAGTTTCTTCTAAAAGAATTTTTAAAAACTAAGTACCCCTTCACACATTTTAAAGCTGGCATCTAGATTTTTTTATTCAAGGATTAAATAATTGCAAAAGATGTATGTTAACATCTGCCGTGTAACCACATGGCTCCCTCCCTCACTTCTTCCAAATCTTTGCTCAAAATGCCACTTCTTCAAAGAAGCCATTCCCGGCCAGCCTGCCTAAAACTGCAACTTCCCCCTATATAGTCACTACTTTATTTTTGTCCTTAACATTTCTTTTCCTTTTTTTCAGCTTTTTTGAGGTATATTTAATATACCAAAAATTGCACATATTTAATGTATATATTTTGGTGAGTTTGGACATACACATACGCCCATGATACCATCACCACAATCAAGGTAACAAACATATCCCCTCATCTCCAAAAGATTTCTTGTGTTCCCTTGCTATGTCTGTGTTAAAAACACTTAGCATCTTAGCTTGGGATCTACCCTTTTGAGTGCACAATATCGTACTGTTAGGTGTAGACCCTATGTTGTACAGCAGATCTCTAGAATTTATTCATCTTGTGGCATTTCTCACTATCTAATATACTATACAATTTACTTACCTGTCTGCTGTCCTCACTAGAATGTAAGCATCAGGAGGGCAGAGGTTTCTGTTCTTGTCACTGATGTTTCCCCAGTGCCTGAAACACAGCAGGCACTCAATAAATATGAGTTGGATATTGAATGAATTCACCACTTCCACCCACCTCTCCATTCCCATCCCGTGAAGTTGACGTCTCCATCCTCTCTATTCTCAGAGCATGAGTTTGGCACATGTGCTACCTCTTCACCTTTAGGCAACTCTTCAGAAGCAGGTCTATGTGGGATCCATCTCAGTATCCCTAATACTTGACGGGTAGTAAATAGATGCTTAACAAGCAGTCCGCGTATTGAGAGAAGGAGATTCATGTAGGCACCGTCCACTCAGGCCCATACCTGCACACAACACTTCTCCTACCCCGCCCACTGACAGCACCCACCCAGGCTCCTGTGATATCTGCCTTCCAGCACCCCAACACATCCCAGGTTCTCCCCCGACAAAGGAGAGAAAACTTCAACCATCTCACACCCAAATCTCAGTGCCTTTGGAGGCACAGTGATCATGACCAAGCCTGATAAAGGGGAACAGCTTCCCCAGATACTGTTTCAGAGAAAATTTCAGCTGGGATGAAATCGCTTTCAACCCCAGAAACAATGGCAGCAGACAAAGGACCTAAGCCCAGAAGAAAAAAGAAGCAGACAGCTCCCCCTTGTGATGCAGGTCTGTCCACTCCAGAAGGTCACTTGGGTTGGGGGGTGGCCAAGGGTTGGTCTCTGGGAAGAAACTGCTCAAGGTACAAGGTACATGCAAACACATCTGTGTCCAGATGGAGAGCCAAGCATAGCTTTCTTCCTCCCCTCCCACCCCAAATTCCATGAAATGACCAAAAAAATTGTTTAATAAAAAATAGGCTTATTTCTGAGTTTGTAGTTGTTTTCCTGCTTTCTGGGGTTATGGAAGTTTGATGTTCAGATATAGATGATATTCTAAATAAACCATATACAAACTAATGGGAAAAAACACTCCATAACACAATTCCAGACATAAGGAGGAAGAGTGAAGATATATCTACCAACTTCTTATCTCCAAAACCAGTTGAATTGATTACAAACAGAAAAATAAATACAGATACATCAATTCCATTTTGGATGAAAATAGCAAGCACTCACAACTCCAAATAACGCTTTCTGTGAAGAATTTCTGCCAAATCCAGTTTCACTGGAACCACACTGGGGGAGGATGCTGACACAGTGTCGCACAATGACAGGTCATGGGCAGAGCTGGTGAAGCACGACTTCCAGAAAGTACACAACATAATCAGAGAAGCAACATCAAGGACACCTTGTTTGTAACCAGATCCACCATACATATAATAATGACTGCCCTGAAAAGAGAACTGAACACCTAGAAAAGAAAAACATAACTGAAGACAAATTTCCTTAAAAATAAAAGAAGACTTGGGTCGGACGGGTGGCATAGCGGTTAACTTCACGGACTCTTCTCCTGCGGCCCAGAGTTCACAGGTTCAGATCCCGGCACGGACATAGCGCCCTTTATCAAGCCATGCTATGGCAGCTGTTCCACATATAAAGTAAAGGAAGATGGGCACAGATAAATTAACTCATGGCCAATCTTCCTCAGCAAAAAGAAGAGGATTGGTGGTGCATGCTAGCTCAGAGCTAATCTTCCTCAAAAAAAAAAAAATAGATAAATAAAATTTAAAAAGAAAAGAGAACTTGAATCTGGCTGACAGGAGGCAGAAACTGGAAGTTGTTGTTTAATGAGTATAGAGTTTCAGTTTAGCAAGATGAAAAGTTCTGGAGATTGGTTGCACAACAACATGAACATACTTAGCGCTATTGACCTGTACACTTAAAAATGGTTTAGATGGTAAATTCTATGTCACATGTATTTTACCACAACTAAAAATTAAAATTTAATTTAAAAAGTTGAATTTCTACAGATTGACAGGAAAACTTGATTCAAAAAGACTAGTGCTGAGACTGGCCTAACGGTTGTATGTTCTAGTTGTGAGTGCCTCTGGTTGTGCTATGCAGGACACCGCCTCACCACGGCCTCATGAACAGTGCTAGGTCCTCACCCAGGATCCGAACCAGCAAAACCCTGGATGGCCGAAGCAGAGCGCAGGAATTTAACCACTCAGCCATGGGGTGGCCCCCAAAATTTCTTATCTTCAAAGATAAAGAAAGAACCTTTGGGCATTCAGGCAAAACTATCAACACACCTATTGAGGAAAAAAAAATCCAGGCTGGCTCCAGACTTTGACACCAAAAGACAGTGTAGAGACATTGTAGAGAAAATCTCCTCTGAGAGAAGAAAAGTCCGATCCAGGAATTTTGTACTTAAACTATTTTACCAGGCTAAAGGCAACAGACAAATATTTCCAGCATGCAAGAATTCAGAGAATTTCATTCCTATGAACCCTTTTCAAAACAACTATTAGACGATAAACTTTAGCCAGCCGAGAGATGTATGGAGAAAATGAGGCAAAAGGGTTAGCTGTGAGTGGTAAATCCATTTTAA